ACACTTTCTTACAGAAGGGAGAAGTTATTACTTCTGCCTCATTCATCTGTTCCTATTTTCCACTCAGTGCAGCTTAAAGCTTGAAGAGTTATAGATCCAGCTTGGGGAGGAACCAAGCACTTAATTCAGATGCCTAAAGTACAGGCAGCCAGGATTTCTCTGGCTTTCAAAGAAAGCCCAGCTGCCTCTCTGCTTAAACTTGAGAAACAGAACATTTACTTTAGCAGTACCACTTCACAAGACACTTACTTACATCTCTTTCAAGATTTGCCCTTAGCTGGTGATCCTGGCTACCCCTCTGTAGACCCTGGTAGAAGTGCCTTCCTCTTCTCCTCCTTCTCTGCCTGCCTTCAGCTCCGCCCCACAGCCCTCCATGCCTGTGCTCATGGGCAGCACAGGCAGCAACAGGATTTCCAGAGGTCTTCCATTGCTATGGGGAGCAAGCCAACTCAGGTCATCCCCACCATGGGTATCGCCTGTCAGACTACTTGCAGCTCTCTAACCTGATTTTTTTCTGCTTTTATTTTTTGTTAACAAAACCCATTAAGCTGGGGATTCTGAAATCCCCACTGAGCCTCTCGCTTTTCCAGAACTGCCATATACAGCCTGGCACAGCTGTAATGAGAGTTTCAGAAACACAAAATGAAGCCAATGTAGTAAATTCCCATTGGAAATTATCACTGGCATCTACAAAATTTAACATTATCCTCTGCCCAATATGAAATCTCTTGGCAGAAATCATGCAAATTTGTCTTCACTAAATGTATTAGCAGAGATGGGGAATAACCCTTGCTAATAAATAGACTGTAAATACTCTATAGTCTGCTATCTGAAAAGAACAAAGAAAATGGAAAACTAAAGGAAAAAAAAAACAAAGGAAAAGAAAGACAAAGGAAAAAAAGTGTTTTCTTATTCCATTCAGGATGTTTTTCTCTCTCTGAAGATGTTAGTAGAGACTGTACAACTGAAAAAAACATTTCCCCTGCATCTCCCTGGAGATGGTACCAGATGAATTCCAACTTTTAGATCAATATAAGGGCTTGTATGATCTTCAATATGTGTGGCTCAACATTTGCATTATTGGCTTCTACATGATCTTGGCCAAGTCATTTCGTGTTTCAGCCTCGTTTGTGTTCTGGCAGTGCTACTACAGCCAATTGCCTTTTGGAACTATGCTTATTCATAGCATAATCTGAAGATACCTCAGTAATTATTATTTTGCTTGTTGTTTCACTTTTAGGGAAGGTAGAGATAAGGGAGAATTTTCCACTTAAAAAAAAAAAATCAACATACAGACTCAGACCAAGTTGACATTAACCAATCTGCTATTAAAGCTTCAGCTCAATTTACAGGAACAGTAGTCAGACAGGACTCCCATGGGTCCTGTTTGGAATTAGATAGTCTTTAAGGTCCCTTCTAACCCAAACCATTCTGCGATTCTGTGATTCTGATTTTGTTTACCCAGGAGAGGAGACACTGTGTGTGTGCCACAGTATGAGGAGTTTTGTGATTCACAGCAATGACTGGAGCACAGGCAGAGGCTACAGGGCACTGCAGGAGGTGTCACTGGATCTGATAAAGGAATTCAAATGATCATTTCCATTGCAGGTGTAAAGATGAAGCCTTCCAAACTCACATAACTTACATGTCTTTGGAAATTTTCATGCTGATTTTACTTTCTAGCCCAAACAAGAAGTAAACATCTGATTCTCTACAAAAAAAAAAAATTCTTCTTTTTCTTAGTGTTTTTTCTCCTATCACTTGTTTCCTCTTTCCCTGTCCTACACCTGCAAAACTTTGTGCTAACTTACCTGCTTTCTAAGGGATGCCTTAATCCTGCATGTTACAGAATAGTAATGCTTTCCTCTTGGCTGGAGCTTAGATAAGTTGTGCCAAAATAAAAGGAAAAAGAAATTAAAAATTAAAAATAAAAAAAAAGAAAGAAATTTGAAATTATCCAAGAAAATTTTCAAACCAGTCTTGAAAGGAAGAACGAGATATATTAACCTTAACAAAACCCCAGGTGTATGGAACAAGCATATACTGCCTTGATTGAAATGCAAAAACATCCTAATTGTTACAAAATGCTTATAGCAAAAGCACTGGTTCCTTAAGTGAACATTTTACTAAATTACAGGCATTTCGTTTCCTCTCATGCATTTCAATAGCATGCATTGCCTGAAAATAAAGCACTAAAAGAAATTTGAAGATTCTGTTTACCAAAAAAAAAAGATATGTTGTGATGGTTAGAGTCTTTTCAGAATGATATTTTAAAATATTGCGCATCAGCTAAGCACAGAGAAAGCACGTAATTTGGCACTAATTTGCCTCCAGCTTGAAACTGAGGGCACATTTCAGTAGAATGTCTTGAGTAACATTAGCAAGGGAATTTAAAGAAGCTCCTAGTATGACTAAGGGGATGGAAAGGTGTGTCACTTTGGAAATCCCAGGGACCCAATATCCATATATTTATAATCACAGCAACTTCATTAGTGCACTTTTGAAAGAACCGTAACTGATTAACTGATAATTAACCAGTGGAATTGATTTTTATTTCAGACCATCAGCCCACACATTCTTACAGCCATTTGACTTAGGGGCAGATAACTTGTTTGCAATTTGGAAAAGCAGAATTGTGAATCAGAATAAGATGTTTTGCCTAGAATGAGTGTGGAAGGTTTAGGTTAGTCCTCTATGTGCGATATGTCTTTTATGAACTAGAAACCTTTTTGATTTCATTTTATTCTTCTGACTGTGTGATTGCAATATCCGTGTCTTTCTGCTAAAACACTGGACTGGCCCTCAAGGTAAACTCAGTTCCCAGCCTGCCTATGAATTTCCTCTGGACAAATCTTACTTGCTAAAGGACAACCTCATTTGTTATCTTCCTTCCCTAATGAAAAAGATGTGGTAATAACCCTCCCCCATACAGCCATTGAGCCTTGAGGGCTGTTCAGACACTGTAATGACAAGACACCACCATTTCATTAAGGCTAAGCATTAAGTATTCAGCTATCAGGACTTTTCAAGGAGTTCAGTACAGATGAGGATTGGCATTCAGTTTGCTAACCAGTCTTCCATCTTGTCTATCCACAGAGTCTTAAAGATTGAGCTGGCACTGCTTTATTAAGAAAATGGAGTTATTAATGTATGGGGAAATGTATGCCCTGAGAATACCAGTACATACAACATGAACACAGACAGCTTAAAGGGACAAGCTTTTGGGCAGGCAATCAAGTCTGTATTTAAGCTGAAACTGCAGGTCCTCAGAAATGAATGACCAAATTCCCAAATAACTTCAAAAGAGTATCTTTTTCATTTCAGAGGCCAAATTCACTGCTTCAATTAATTTAGAAAATTCATAGACGATATACAAACTATTACACATTATTCCCCTATAAGTAGAAGTTCAGCTCTTAATATTTTTACAAACCTAATCCAAATAACAGTTTCAGTGGTGCTACACCAACATATGGAAGAGAGAACAAGGACAGTAGGCCCCTTGCTTTATCATAAAATGGACAATAAATATAGGCTTGTGAACTGCGTAAGCCAGCCTAATAAAAATGTTGCTGTGCAGAGACTGGTAAAACTAGCAAAAGCATAGGACAGATAAATGCGAAACGCTACAGACATCTCAGCTGCAAGTCTTATAGCAGTATAACTTATATTTCAGCAAGATAAAAGTATATTTAATCAAATATACAGAAAACTGCTTTATGAAGGACTGCTGTGTTGTGTTCTGTGTTCTTCAGCTGAGTACTTTTCTTCCACAGGTCACTTCCACACGTGAGACCATCTCTGTTGTTCAACCTTTACCCAAATTCTTTCCTCTCCATTCTAATAGGAAAAAATTTTGATTTCTGCCTTTTAGATTTACAGAAGTCTTTTGCATCTTTTGACTAGGAATTGATCTGATCAGTGATGGCAGGCTGCTTCAAGGACACTGACACGTGTGACATCCACAGAAATCATGCCCATTTCTTAGAAGCATGACATAATTTACTCAGTCCTCTTCATTCTTATTCTCCCATTTCCCCATCCTTTCTCACAAACGTGGGTATCTCAAGGATCTTGCTAAAGGACAAATCTTATAGATCTAAATTTATCTTAATTTTATATAAACAGTCATTCCCACCAGCTATGTTTGCTGCTCCACTGAGCTATGTCATCTTACAACAAACCCTGAAGTGCTTCAGCTCCTTTAGAAAGACTTCAGTCATGCAGAGGATTTAGGGATGAAATATTTGCTGAAGTCTCTCCTCCACAAAAAAAAACCCAAAAAACAAACAAAAAAAAAAAAAAAAAAAACCAAAAAAAACCCAACCAGACCAAGCCAAAACACCCTCCTACCCCCCCCCAGCAGTGACTGATAAACTGCTTGCACAGCCCTATCATCAGCCATTTTAGGGCAGTATCATTCACCTAAGGCAACCTTTCAATCCCAGACCTGCTGGGCAAATTTGGCTACTCAAACATTTCTCTACATGGTTCTGAATAATATGTTCATGTTATAAGTAAAAATCTTTTAATACTGACCTTTATATATTGACTTCTGTTCACCTGAAGCTCAAAACTACTGCTTGTTTCCGGTAGAGAATGGTTTTTCACAGAACACCCTGAGGCACATTGAAGTAAGAAGGAAATTCAACTAGACATTCTCGTCTGCACATCATGCTTGCCAACAGAAGTCAACAAAACGTTGCTGCAGAGGGGCCAGCTGAGAGGAATCACCTGTAGCAATGCCCAGAATTTAGGATAGTGCTGGCACCTATGTGCTTCTATATCTTTCTAAAAGCGCACAAAGTTTTTCTATGGTTATTTGAAGGCTGTAGGTCTATTTGGCATTCTCGGAGCATCGTGGTTGCTGTTTTCTCCATGGCTGACCCACCCCAGCAAGATGCCCAGACTTTAAAAGCATCAAGGTACCAGGCTCATATAATGGGCTAAGCAGAAATAATTTTGTTGACCTATCCTGACAGACAGTGTTATGAACTCACCTGGTAAATTGTTTTATGATGCATGGTCCACAAAGATATAACAGATGAGAATTTTTCTAAAAGATCAATTTCCTCCAAAGAATACAGGCACTTTGCTCTTTGTAATTATGGGGCCAAGAAGTGATGAAAGTTAAATCACAGAAGATTTATTAATTCCATTCTTCCTAAAACAAAACAAACTAACTAACAAAACCACAGAAAACCAGAAAAAAAAATCAGGAAAATTAATTTTTTACACAAATAATTTCATAAATATAACAGATTTTGTATGTGCTTAGCTAACACCCAAATACTATGGAGTACATATGAATCCTATCTGTGCTTAGGGTCCAGAGAGTATCTAGGAACTGTGCACTGCTGACAAAAGGATGAAAGAATCTGAGAATAAAATGCACACATCTAAAGTGGAAAATGAGATTTATGTATGAAAATCAAAACGACAGTCTTGCCCTTTTAAGCACACTGCATTTGTGGAAAAAAAATAGATCTCAGTACTTAGTTCACACAGAATTCAGAAGGTTTCTGCACATATACATGGGGATCTGCTTACATAAAATCCAGTGGAGAATATGAACACAGAATAATAGTAATAATTTATTTCTATTTTTAGTACCGAATCAGTAATATTGAAGGAAATCAGTACACTGCAATTTCTTTTTCATATACAATTCAGAGGTGTCAACAAACACTATCCAAACTTAACATGAATTTGTTTGCCTAAGGCTACATGGAGGAGGACAACATCTATTTTTAGTCCATGTACAATTCTTAAAAACACCACCGTAATTAAATGATTCAGAACTACTTGATCTTGGAGCAATTATTTTTCCCAGTGCTTCAGAATGTTTCAAAATCCCAACAGAAAGCCTCCATAAAAATCTAGAGGTCCCATTGTATACGGCATTAGTAAAAGTCTATTGTCTACAGCCTCCAACAGAAGCTATGTGGGTTTCTTTGCCCTACAAGTTGTCTCTACTTCCAGCTCTCCAGCACAGGCATGTCAATAGGTAGATTCTCCTCCTCTGGCACATGGTGCCCAGGAAACATTACCAGAGGAGGTACCAGCAAACATACTTCCACTGTTTTCCCAGTGTCTGTTTAGCCCACCAACACCATGCAATCAAACATTCAAGCTTCTTACTGTTTTTCCGGCTTTTTCTGTCCCTCCTGCTGGGATTTGTCACAACAATGTACATCTGTAGATCCTTGACTTCCCCAGGGAACTGCCACTTGGGAACTTCCAGCGCCCAAGGTGATTTCACAAAGATCCCCACATCTCTTGGGGAAGTCCAGCTAGTGCTAAGAAAGCAAGCAGATGACTTCCTTTGACAGCTTTTGAAGGTATCAGACTTTATTACTGGCTTTCTCTCCCTTTCTGCCCCCCCCCCCCCATCAACTTCACCTTCTAATTAGATCTCATAAAGATGAATCTCCTCATTTTACTTAAAAGACTCATTGACCCTCTAGCATACTGTTATAACCCAGTCACCTATGAGTACAGTAATTAGGGCATTATAAAACATAGAATTGATTGTACCCATTTCACATTTAGAGGAGGAGACATGCTGAGTTGCAAAGAGAACTGGCTGAGGCAAGACAAGCCCAAAGTGAAGCACAAATTAATATTTTAAGAAAGAAGGTGTATATTATTCATGGAAAGAAGAGATTGATTGGAGCAACAAACTTCAAGGAGAGATGAAAAGGATGGCATCGAATTTGCTTCACGAAAGCTCCAGGAGTAGGAAGTAATAAAAAGCAAACAAAACACAGAGGGAAGGGCAACAATCACTCATTGACTCTTGTAACACATTCCTAGCACATCATTAACAGAACACATGATAAGAAACTAGTCAAGAATCAGCTCTTATTTACGTGCTGCTCCTAGAGTGACCTGTGACATGAAGATGGATCAAAATTGTCTTATCTATGTTCATACATTCGTAGAACTCCTCAAGGGTATTCATTCAAATTCAATAGGCATAACTTAGCTATCAAGCAAATTACAGCACCTTTCCTGAAGTATTTTTCTTGTGAAGAGAACTGGCTCATTTTATTCTTATTTACTATTACATTGTCTTTCAGGCAATTAAAAAAGTAGAATGTGTCAAAATGTCTGACAACACCAAACATCAACAGAAAGATGGAGCTGCAGAAACAAGTTAGAGCTATACATCACTGAGAGTACAAAGACAGATTTCAGACACTTTGCTTCAGACATCCCTAAAAGTAATGGTTTATGAACCACATCCCTGGCCTTTTAATCAACACAGATATACTGCCTTCAACAGGAGTACACTGCACAACACTTAAATATATGGCTCTTGGCCCCCATGGCAGCGGGGTTGGAACTAGATGATCTTAAGGTCCTTTCCAACCATAACTATTCTATGATTCTATTCTATGATTCTATATCATTCTTAGATCTACGCCAAAGTAGAAAAAGTATTGTGTGTACATGGAACTGTACCTAATTGTACCAATGGACAATGTAGCTCATTAAATTGCTAGATTTAATGACAAGATTGTTAACAGTACAGAGACATCTTCAAAATCCTCTGGATCATCCTGGATTATCTCTTCAGCTTTTCCTCTTACATAATTTTCAATTTCCTTGGTAGTTAATCCTGTTATAGAGGAGGTTTTGAGCAAACACTGTAATTTTTGATTTTATAAAGTGGTACACAGCGTGAATTGATTTCCATGATATCCTTTTTCCCTTGTGCCCTTTTGCTGATTAACTCTGCAATAATATTATGTAATGGAGCCCACACATCACCCTTCCCTCTTTTATAAAACAGTCACATCACACCACGTACTTTTACAGGCACTTCAGAAAAATGCCTTGCTGGTTATAAAACCCACGCACCATTCTTTTTTTTTATTCTTTTTATTTTCTTCTCCATGAAGATCCTGATTTGCTTCTTCAACACCAACAATTTATCCCTGTAGCAGTCTGAAAAAATAGGCAACATTAGTCTGTCTTGTAAATCCTGAGTAAGTGATGTCAATGATTACATTTTACAAAACCATTACTGCATGAGACACCTAAAAGTTCATCAATGAAATAACGTGCTCCTTAAAGTCTAGTGGTTATTTCTATTGGTCAAAGCTTTTTCACTTTGTAGAAACAGGCACACTTTGTGAGCATGTGTGTCTGGGTAACTTGGTTTGTTGTAATTCTGGAAACATCTGTCTCCCATGAAGAACCATGCAGTCAAAGGGAATCAATCAGGTATGACATGACCTGCAGCAAAAAATTAGGATCCAGTCCACTGACTTAGGTGCACACTTTGTGCCTCACCAGTAGGGTGCCTGTGAAGCTGGTCCCTTAAAGCAAAGCCTTTCATGTTTGGTGGTTAGAAAGAGAAAAGGTCATGGTGATGCATAGACAAACTTTGAAGACGTATAAAAAAAATTCATTCTCATTTCAATTTTTTTACTTATTCTTCATTATATTAGAAGAGGTGGTATCACTCCATTCCATCCAAAGCACCTCATGGTTTGAAAGGAAAGGGTTTCTGGAACAGACAGCTATTGCAGTTTTACTAGGTGTCTAACTAGTGACCATATTCTTTCTGTCAAATATAATCTCTATCAACCATGCTTTGTTTTCACATATGGTAGGAAAAGCTTTTTCTCTAGATGGTAATCATGAGATCTAAGTGTGAGATTATAATTTTGGCACTTTTTTTGTTTCAAGTGCAGTTCATGCCAACAACAAACCTCAAAAGACACATTCCAGGCAAAGGTGAAGTTTGTGTGGATCTCAGGACACCATCGCTCTCCAACAGGCTTCTAACCAGCATTTCCACAATCAACATAAGAACTCACATATGTTTTAATTTTGTTTCCATATTTTCCTTTTTGCAAAGCAAAAAGTTTCACAGGAAGCTTTAGAAAAACCTTCCTAAAAAAAAATTACATAATGCAAGACATTTTCTCTGCTTGTCCAGATCTGACACCAAACACTAAAATCTTGCAAATAATGGGAACTATAGCAGCCAACTCTTGTCTAAGCTGTCAGAAAAGACTGGGAAGCACCTGCAAAGGAGTGAGGGCATTTGGAAGCATGTCAGAGGTATTAAGTAAGGAATAAGAGAATTGTGTGGGTCTTTGAAGGAGGTAGCACAGAAGAGAAAAAACGGAGAGAAGACAGCAGAATAAATAATGTCTCAAAGCTGGAAGTGTCACAGTCAGGTCAAAAGGGAAAAAAAGTCTTTAGCAATTTTTGTGTGTATAACTTGAAGGAAGATCAGAGAGTCTGCTGTTATCATAGACAAGGTAGGATGTAAAGGGGTCTGGAGAAGGAGATTTAGAGTTATTTCAGTCTGTGTTTTCTCACACATTCAGAGCTTTGGTGTTCTAGCCTTACTTCAGGACTTCATCGTAAAACTATAAGTAGCATTCACAATCATTTCTGCTCCACCTTTTTTTTCCAAACCCATATTTCATAATTTAAAAAGTCATTTTTAGTGGATGGAAGGACTACAGTTGTATTTATAACAGTGAGTTGTTGGTCCATCTAAACAGCAGGCACAACAAAAAAGCTGTCCTTGAGTTTCTATTCTCAATTAGCCTTGCCAAAAAACAATGTGTATCAGTTTAGGAAAACACCCCATTTTATCTGGTGATGGGGAGAGAAGGAGCAAGAAGCAACAACCCTGTATCTCTCTTAGTTCAGGATTTGTGCCAGCTGCATAGTTTGTACATAGGCTTAGCTTTCTGGCATTTTCCCCTTAATCATATATGCCTATTAACACACACACACTCACACAGTATGAGACAAACACAAGGTTAAGTTTACAAAGTCAGCTACTCAAATGCACTGGAACACCAAAATTCAGGTTGTCTTCAAAAATTAGTATCAGTGGGCATAGAACTGAAGCAACATCTTTCAAATCCATCCTGGTATGTAATCGCCCTGGCTAAGAAGTAGCTAGTCTCTTTATTCTATATGGGCCAGCTGCTGCCAGGGGCAAGAAATGTGGTCAGCTAGCAGGCTTTGAAAGTATTTGCTGGCAAAAGCAAATGTACACTCTTGTCCTCCATTCCTCTGCATGTTCCATTCCTCTGTGTGCTCAATATCCTTGTGTCTCTGCCATTCACCCTCTCACTGCTTTTCAGGTTACTCGTTTTCTCTTCTTCCTTGTACACCTGCACTAGCACCTGATCTCTCCCTCCTCCTGCAATACCCAGCCTGTTACGGCTTGTGCTTTTGTGGTCATCCTATCCCACTGGTGTGCTGATGGTTCATCTCCTCGGTCTCCCCCTGCTCCTCCCCTGGTATCACTATCCTGTGTTGTGCCCTTTCTTTTCACTTTCTGAGCACTAAGACTTGCACGCAAAAATCCTGCTGGCCAATATAGGAAACATCAGTCTCTGAGAGCTCCCCACTTCTGAACTACATTTCTGACCATGTCCCTATTCTCTCCTGCCTTGTTCCCGGCAGTGATGGACACTTTTTTGATACTATACTTTCAGGACAAACAAAATATTTTTTCCTTAATTTTATTAGAGTAAAGTCTGGAAAGGAAAAGGCTGCTTTTAGGGTCATTTGTTTTTGCACTGATGGCCTGCCTAGAAGATCTAATACAGTCCAATGTTGCTCGGAAAATCCTGATACTGCTTAACTTAGATCACCAGGGGAAAAAAAAAAAAGAAAAAGAAAAAAGAAAAAAAGAAAATAAAAGAAATTCAGCTGGACCACACTAGTAATTGAAATTCACCCTGCAGCAAATGTTCTTGAGTGTACTCTTTCATAGCCCTTGTGGTCAACAGTAAACCATGTTTATGGACTCTGACCATAGATGAATTTCATGATAGGTGATTTTTTTTAAGAAAGGAAACATGAAGTTCTGTTTGTTCAGCATGTCTACAGTCCCAATTGTGGGAGCCAGCATAGTCATACCAATATATCACTGTCACTGCTTGAAAAACAGCCCCAAATTTATGGCAGGCACAGAGTCCTAAAATAAACATATACCGAAGAGTTCTGGGAACAGCAGAAGCAGCAAAGTGTGATTTATTACAGATGAATTATGGTTGAATTTGCTAACAAAGCCCTGACCAATACTTTTCCCTCTGTTGAAACTCAGAACACCTATTTCACAACTGGAGATGAACTTGTCAGTCTGTCTCTTACTGGTCCCCATTTTACCCAGTCACTTATCAACTTCAAACCTGTTAAAAAATGGTGTATCTAATTCCTCTATCTCCACGTCAAATTCTGCAAACCAGCTTGAGAGTTATTGGAGGAATTATATATATATATATATGTATATTCTCTTCACACAGAGAATGGTGGGAGCAATAAATCTTACAGCTATGCAGGAAACTGGAGAATTTTTCATCATTTTCC